GTACCTTTCTCACATCAGACCACAGCTTTCTTCAGCACTGCTAATCTCTGTCCCAAAATTATTGTTAGGGCTTCATTGCACAAGACATGTAGGATAATCTGACTGCTAATAATGCTTTGCAGCTCTTGTTGAGTCTGGAGGAGTAGGCAACATTTCAACATCCTTCCCTAAATTCACTCTGTCCAAATCATAGAATCCTAGCCCCACGGTTCACTTACTGTAAAGCTTCTGAGAGACTAAGTATGAAAGGGGAGCTTCTATTTCTCCTTCCAAGCATTCCACTATGGAGAATCCTGATTTGACTCCCCAATTTGTGTACAGTTAGGGAGAGGATGATTGGACTGTAATGTGATGTTGGTGTCACATGAGAACAATATTCAGAGTTGCAGTAAAAAGACACCACTAACTGAGGCTTTTCTTACAGTTTTCACATTATAATTTGAGTATTCAGCTTAATTTTATTTCAGTATTTAATGTTCTGGTTTCATAAAAAGGCTAGGTATATAATTAACATGGACCTTTCAGTATTTTTATTAAAATACTTCAGGGTTTGTATTGAATTGGGATATTACAATTTTGATAATTAGCTATAGCAATTTGGTCTTCATCCTTGTGCCTAATTGCCCATCCAAGGTAGCAATTTCACTTAGGGGCAGCGCACAGGTAGTTGTCTTTAATTTAGAGGACTTGTAAATGAAGTGTTAAGTGTATTTCTCAAGAGACACTGAAAACATAAGGAGATGAGGCTGAAAGCATTTATCCTAGACCAGGGGTGTCAACTTTACCTTGTGCCTTGGGCTGGATCTGGACCATAGATCTCCTTGCATGCTGAATCCATCCCAGGGCAAACAGCAGTGACAGCAGCTCCAGCATGGGGTGTGTGACATGTGGTGCAGCTCTGGCTCCCACCACATGCCCCATGCCAGAGCTGAAGCTACTACTGTATGCCCCATGGTGTGGCAACAGCTCTAGCTCTGGCCCTGGCACAGAGCATGGGGCATGTGCTTGAGGTTGCAATGGTCAAGAAGTTGGGGCCACAGCAGTGGTGATTGACAAATCTGCCAGAGGCCAACCAGGACTGTATTAGTCCTCACTTACCCCCTTGCTGCTGATCACTCCATACACCAGGCCCCCCCAGATTCTGCAGCAGGCCACATCTCCACCTTCTAGTGACTTGCTGGTAGCCCGCTAGGATGGATTAAGCAGCTCCATGGTCCATATGCTTGATACCCTTGTCCTAAACCAGCATTTCCCAACCGGTGTGCTGTCAGACATGAACAGGTGTGCCATGGAATTTTGGAAAAGTCACACAAATAAATAAATAATGAATGCTCTTTCCGTATGCTCTTGGGGGGACGTGGCTCCTGGCGGGGTGGGGCGGAGCTCCAGCCAGTGCCTCACGCCACCCCCCGCACTCCTGCAGAGCAGTTGCAGCGTGGGGCAGTGAGTGGTGGCAGCGGCCATATTATCTGTTGGGGAGAGGGGGCGAGTGCCATGATTTTTTTTTATTTATATGAATGTGTAATGGGATGTAAAAGGTTGGGAAACACTGTCCTACACTATTCAATGCAGTTCTTCTTGGACATGTTCTCAATCTTTTTAGACTCAAGGCACCCTTTCATAACCTTTCTGAATTCAGTGGCACCCCATTTCAAAAACCAGTTTATTATAGGGCTGACCTCCTTTTACCCTAGGGCACCATTAAAAGGATTTCATGATACCCCAGTTAAGAACCGCTGTTCTAGAATGTGGGTGTAGGTAACCTGCCAATGCATCAGCTGTGGAGTTGAACAATTCCTTTTCAAGTTTGGCTTCTGTTTGCTTCTGTGCTCTGCTCGTCAAGCCTTCCTCTTCCAGAAGCTCCAGCAGGAACATTCCAAGGAAGCATGTTGTTTCTCTCCTAAATCTTGAGGCAGATCTCGTAATAAATTTAAAAAAAAAAAAGGTTCAAGCACCTGTTCCAGAACCCTCGCACCCTCCGCCCCCTCTGCCAATCAAGTAGATTCCATTTAGGCCAAATCCTACTCCAGCTATTAGGTTCCTAAGTGGTTTTCCAAGGAGAAAACCTTCCCAAAATGGAGGATCTTCCACTCAGGTTTCCAGTTTATTCTGCTAGAAAACAAATGCCCTCTGCTCTTGAAGGATTCTCATGCTGTTCTATGTTCTTTGGCAGTGTATATGACTGCAATAAAAAGAAATTACTCCTAAGTACATAACAGAGAGACCTCCGAGTATCTTCACCCAAGTTTTTGCCAGTGACTCCTGCCTTCATCTGTCAGTCTTGTAGTAAACAATTATTTTGATGGGAGTCAATGAGAGCAGTAAGCTAATTACACCTTTGGCTCTTACCCCTCTTCTTTCAGTAGCCTTTGAAAACCTCCTCTTCATGAAACACTGTTACTGACAGACTATTACAATTCATTAAAACATTCATTTCCATGCTATATGTGCTCCACCCTCCTCCCCTGTCTGTTTTTAGGGACCCTTTTAAAAAAGGTGTTTTGAGCAGAGAAGTAGGTTTGCACTCTCTTCTCTCAGAGCTATAGAAAAAGTTCCTCTGCAACAAAGGAAGTTCATGTATTTTATTTCCTCGTGTCTACGAATAAAGGAAGTGGAAACTTGCCCTAGATATCAGACTGCTGAATGCTTTCATTTATTCAATAGGGTCCAGTATGATACTTAAAACTCCAGGTATTAGATCAGCTTTACAACTCTTGACCTTCAGGATGTTTGCTTTCCCATTGCCATTCATGATGTGTACCAATATTTCATATGGTTTGCAGTAGTTCCAAACCACTACCAGTACATAGTTTTACCCTGTTTGGTCTATCCATAGCACAACAGCATTCATTTTGCTTGATGTTATAATTTTAAACAACATCAAGTAAAATGAAAACGGACTTCAGAGAAGTTGCTCTTAAAAAAAAAAAAAAAAAAAAAAAAAGCCTACATATAATATCAGTTCACAAAGCTTGCATATAGGTCTTACCTGATTCATAAAATTTCCATTTATATCATGACAGACAATAAAAGGGCCAAGTTGCCTATAAAACAGGCAGATATGGGCACACTTGTTTTTCCTGTGCAAGAGAACAGTACAGCTATGGAATTCATGCATAAAGTGTTATGCTTACAGCAGTTCGCATGGCACGTCTGCAGCAGACATTGGCGTATTATCCTAGCAAGCTCTTTTCAACAAAACACAAATGGGAAATACATGATTCAATGATTCATTCAGTTTTCCAGGAAGGGGAAGTAAATCCATCAGTGTGCTTACTTGTGACTGACAGGAATAATTGAAGTTAAATTTTCTGTTCCAGAAAGGAGTTGAGTTCAAGATTTTTGTGAAATGTATTTATTATACTTTGGTCTCATGCTATATTATATGCTTATCCATCAATTCTTTTGCCTCCAAGAGAGCTCAGAGAGGTAAGATAGCCATATGTGTGAGACAGTATTGGTTTCTAGAGTTTACATTGGAGGACAGGTTGACAAACATATTACTTCCTCCAACAGCAGATGTGCTGACTCAAAATGAAGTGACTCTTCTTTCCAAACCATCCACCCTTTCATGTTCTCTGGGTGGATGTCAGAAATAATAAAAGTATATTCAGTGCCTAGTGTTCAGAGCATATTGTTCAACAGTAGAAAAGTTTGTTATGCAAAATGAAGGTGATTTGTGGCCTGGTATGAACATCATCGACTTGTACCTCTTCAAATCCTGACAGTTTGGGACTACCTTTTCTCTGTCAATACTTTAAGGTCCTGGACAGATGTACACACCCTATGAAGCATTCTGAAAATGGCTGAGCTACTTCAAAACTGATCCTGGATGGCACCACAATTTCATTGAAGCGCTTCATTTTGAAGAGCTTCCAGTTGCACGTGCATTCTTAAATGTAGTACAGCAAGGGGTTGCTTAGTTCTCTGGCATCCCACAGTGTTCTGTTCCTTTTTCCTCCCTCCCTACTCCCCACCCTGTTCAACCACTGAGCTCTCTCCTGTGCACTTGACCATCCTTGGCAATCCCTGGAGCCTGAGAAAACATAGAAGGAACCTTTCTCCACAGGCCCAGATCTCAGAGCCTCTTGGAGTCGATCCAAGGCTGGGGTGAGGGGCTGAGTGCCCATGTGCATGTACATGTGCAACCCAACCCAGCAGATCAGTCCATGGAGGAAGGAAGGGGCGGGGACTAGATCAAGGTCCCCGCAGTGAGGGTCAGTGCCGCAGAGGCAGGAACAGGGCTCGGTTGAGTGGGGCCATAGCCAGGTAGGACTTACCTGCTGGGGAGGCATGCCCCCAAATCATTTTTTCTCCCTCTGCCTTGATCTGCGTCCCCCCCACCCCCCTGCAGACTTACCTGCTGGGCAAGGGGGCAGGGGAGTTGCAGCGGCACACGGTAGATCTTGGGTTGCTTTTAAATGCCAAAGGTGATCTCCTACTTTAAAAAGTTGGAGACCGCTGCTGTAAAGCATGCTGCCACGTGCCATTGCAGTGATTTTGAAGTGCTGTAGTGAGGAGGTATGGCAGATGGCTGCAAATCTGTTGATAGCTTATGTTCTCTGAATTTGAAGTGTTCCAGATTGGAGTGGAATTCTGAGTTCTTCAACCATGCATCTGTTCATGGCCTAAGTATTTCACTTACCTCTGTTTCTGTTTGGTGAACTTTGCAGCCATTAGTACTTACCATCCATTTCTAGAGGATATTACTTTTTTTTTTTTTAAGCATCCAACCATGACAGATTTCTTTGAGGCTTGGTGAGGGTATTTCTCATTGTGAAACCTGTTCTTTAATGGGACCTTGATGTAGCTTTGGCAGATCTTCTGGAGCCCCTTTGGATTTAAGGCATCCTGATCTCTCCATATGTCCCTGTGAAAATCTCTTTGCTTGTACTTGTCACATTAGCTTATTTTCTATTACTGTTTACATTTTGTTGATCAAAAAAGAGACTACACATCCCATTTCTAACTAACATCAACTGCATGTTTTTATTCTGTAGACAGCAGTGAATTCCTTGCTGATGACTGCAGTATAATTGCTGGTGGAAACCTAATGGGTTGGCATCCTGATTCTGCTGCTGTATTATGGAGGAGGATCTTGGGAATCCTTGGAGATGTCAACAATATCCAGTCACCTAAAATCCATGCCAGAGTTTTTGGGTATCTCTATGAATTATGGAACAAACTAGCAAAGGTATTGTTTCTAATGCATACTTTTAATGTAAAGACAACAGTAATGTATTTGCTAAAAGTGTCATGATCTTTCTAGCTGCTCTCCCAGCTATGCAGTTGGTCCATTAAAAGATTTCACAAAAAACCTTTGCCCCTTGTACATTTTCGGAACCATCATTACTACTATAACACTTCAACACTACTGTAGAAAGATATTGTTTACAGTATATTCTTTTTTTAAAGTTCATTAACTAGTAAAATTACTTTTTGTTAGAATTTTCAAGGATTTTTGACCTCTCACTCCACTTGTTTAGAAGTACTATGATATTAACCACGAACAAGGCAATAATGTCTACTGTTACAGGGGAGGATGGTTTATTAAATCTTTTAAGAAATGTTTCCTTGAATTTTGTTCAGGCACACCTTAAAAGAGAGGTTCCTTTTTGATGACAGTAAGGATTTAAGATAATTTATTCTCAGTGAAATAGAAGCAATACAGTGAAAGTATAAAATCATTGTCTTAATACTGAATGTTAGTGTAGATTCTAAGAAAACACCTGTAAGATGATAATATATGCTTAATATATTTCCAGTTTTCCTGTTGAATTCAGCTTCAGTGGAAATTTGTATGTATTTGTAAAGGTGCTACTTCTGATAAAAAAGGCTGTGTTATAAATAATAGCTGTGTTACAATATTAGAGGATATTTTATTAATCTTCTACCTTTTTTTAAAAAATCAGATAAGGGACAATCTTGCTATAAGCGTGGATAACCAGTCTACTCCCTCTCCTCCTCTTTTAATTCCACCGCTCAGAATATTTGCCTCATGGTTGTTCAAGGTAAAGTAGTTTTAATTTCTACATGGAGTGGTATTTTCCTGGACATCTATATTGGTTCATAAATGTTTATCATGTTGTTATATTGTTTTTACACTATTTCTGCAATCCTGGTTCTAAACATATTAGAAAAATAATCATAGTCAATTGTTTACCTATGCTGATGTCTAGATTATAAAAAGAAGTCTATACTTGCAGTATTAAATACGTGGAATTAAAGCCTATTTTTGTAAATATAAATGCAGTATACAGCAAATAAATATACCTTGCTGGAAATACAGCGTTTATTTATTTAGCAAGTAAAAAGGCTGTAGTAATAAAATTATTCATCTTTTCAGGCAACAACCTTGCCAAATGAATATAAGGAAGGCAAACTTCAAGCATACAGGCTGATCTGTGCTATGATGACCAGGCGCCAAGATGTCCTGCCAAATTCTGATTTCCTAGTGCATTTTTATCTTGTGATGCACCTTGGCTTAACTAGTGAAGATCAGGTACAGGGTTGATTTTTCTTTCAAAAAGAGTTTAAGTTCCATTATTGTATTTTACATCATGTTTACTGTATTGTTTTGATGGGAAAGTGGACTATCATGTTTGAAGTGCATTTGGGAGGAAGAGGATCATGGTTATATAATAAAATACACTAAAGTGTGGACTTAAAGGTATGCCTGTGTTTTGTAGCCTAAACTGTTTTTCCCCCTCTCCATATGTTGTATATTTTGCTCCCCCTTTGTTCTCCTAAATGATTTTGTGTTCTCTGTCTGATAAACCTTTAAACTCCATCTGGTTTACCTATTTCAACAGAAAGCAATTGTTCTGAAATTCAGCTTATTTTAACCAGAGCAGCTTCCTTTTAGCTAAAGTAAAACTGGATGCATCTACACATGCACTTTATTACAGAGTAGACTAATTAGCTCTTCAGTAGAGTATCACTGTCTATATGTGTGCTGGTATTGGGGCACAGTAAACTAACTCTTCTGTAAGATAATACTGTCAGGGACAGTACTGTCTTACAGCGGAGTTATTGTGCTGAAATGCATGTGTAGACAGTGACCAAGCAGTGGCCAGACTCCTGGCTGCTGCCTAGCCCCACAGCTCTGCAGGTGTAGCACTGTTATGCCCCAGCCAGCCCCTCTGCTGCCGAACACTACTACCTGGAGCCTGGGCTGATCCCCATGCCCCCTGCCAGCCTGGGCCTGCTCTGCCTTAGGTCAGATTGCTGCTGTCCTGGGCATGCATGTAGGTGCTGCACCCAGAAGCAGTTTATTCTGGAGTTTGTTTTACCTTAATTTCACATGTAGATGCATGCACTGAGTTGTAAATTGATTAGTATGCTGTAAATCAAAATGGCTTCAATTAGAAGGAAATCACTAGTTAATTTAAGTTGACTGCTTGTCATTTGCATTATCTAGTGACACTGTATACAGTCTTTTCATAGTTTTAGATTAATAAGAGAGACTAGGAGAAGAAGACCCAATCTACCAGCATTTATCATTGTCATGTACATTTTACAAAGCTCCCCTTTGCTCCATTTATTCTGTTTGGGGCTCATAACACAACTGCTTATCAAACTTAGTATTATCTCTAATTATTTTTGCAGAGTTCTCTACTGTTTTATAGTCCACAGTTTGCTTTAATAAGCTATGCTCCTTGGCAGTCTGAATTTTCAGAGGCAAGGCAACTTTTGAGTTTGAAAAGATTGGTTGAACTGTAGCTGCTTGTGATTTGCCACTAAGACACATGAACATTGCTTTACATTGTCTAGAAACTCTGAAACAATGCTTCTCAACCTGTACTCACTCCATGGGGTTTTCATAAAACTTAGCAAGGACATTTATCCCATTTAGCATTACAAGCAGGGCATGACAGTTGCAATCTCCAAAGATAGAACCCACTTCTGCCATCCGTTGTTTAGATTCTTTACAGATTTGGGCAAGCATTGTTGCATTGATTTACACTCATCTCACATTTTACAGGTTATTTCCACAGATGTGGAAAGATCTTGAAACATACAGAGGTAAAATTCCATGCTGTGCCAAGGGAAAGGGTGAGATACAATGGCTTTAGCTTATCTTTGTGTCCTTCTAAACCTACGTTGCTCCAGGACCTCAGGAAGCCCCATGTATAATTTAGTAAGGGCAGTAATCAGTCAGAGAGAAGGATAAGATTAATAATACTGTGATGTTAGATGATGATTTTAGATAGGAAACTGGTATCGGAGCTATAATCTGCTTTTAACTTAAAGTTTTCTTTTTCCTTCACTTTAAAAAAAAAAAAAAAAAAAAAAAAAAAAAAAA